CCGTTCGCCATCGCAACCGCCGCCAGCGCCGTAAATTCCAAGATTGGCAATCAAGGACTATCTTTCAATCTGTATGTATGCGTACGAGAAAGAGAGTGCCGAGAAAACAGACACGGTAAAACGGGGAGATTGCGATTTCCTTTTTTCTCCGAAAACAATTTTTATGTAAAGCGAAAATAAAAAGAAGGAATCTTGTGATGTATTTCTCTGACTCCGTAACTCTTTAGCGAATTTTCCCAAAATCAAGCTTAGAACGAGAGAAAGAAAGAAAGAGAAACAAAGCATGTATGTAATAATTTTATATATCTAAATGAGAAAAAATCAATATTCTCTCTTATCGATATATAGAATTTTTTTTATATTTGTTATCATATCAAATTATTCAATAGTATTTTAAATATTAAATTCAATTCTAAATGTTAAATATCGAATATTTCGATGAATTTCTTAGACGCGAGTATTTTCATTGCTTTATTTTTATTTATACGCTAATTTTTATTCACCTACTTTCTTCGTACGTTTGCAGAGGAGTATTTGAGTAACGAATGGAACTCCCCACTGTCACTGTCTCTTCCCTCTCTCTCTCTCTCACTCCCGGGGTCATGTTTATAAATTTAAATCCGCGTGCGATAAACGAATCAATATCGATGCAGATGAAGCGAAAACCCGGAATACGGTCACCAGGCGAGCCCGTCGTCCGACCAAAAACTTTCCGAGAGTTACTTTGATTTCAATCTGACCGACTTTACGACGAACAAGCACTATCTCTGACGATTATTTTTCTGCTAAAGTTCTTGCCGCTTGACGACTTAACCCTGAGGAACGAAACCAGGTCATGACAACGTAATCTCATAAACGATCTAGATGAGAGTTGAGTTTGCTTCTTGGTTTCCTAGAGTACATTCTCCATGTCAAATTTCAAAATCTCAAATAACCGAGAATGTCATCAATCAAAACTATCCAATTCTGATTCTGATCTACTTATACATACAAATTTCTATCAAGAATTTATGATCAATATAATCCAATTCTAATTGATCTTTTTATGGTCGAATTAATCTTTTCTGTAGTAGTTTAATGAACGATTTTCTGACACTAGAAGTAGAAAAAAAAAACAGAAAAGAATGCTTGCTAAATGATTTTAATAATTATTAAGATTTACAAAGGGAAATTACAACGGAAACATGTATATAACTTGAGTTATTCATTAAAAGCATAAAATAGATAGAAGTCGATTGACTTGCAAAAGTTTTGACACAAAAGTAATAGTCAGACAATTCGTTGCCCAAAAGATGTATGTCACAGGAACAAGAGCCGCCGGGAATATCATGAAGAAAAGATGATAGCCGTGAAATAGTGCGCAAAAAAATTCTTTCATCGCGAACGTCGCGACCACACCTTACAAGGCGTAGCTGGTTCGGGGCGTCTTATCCGCGGCGGAAACTTTTTAATGAAATGTTGTGACAAGCGCATATAATGCCCAACCACGAACGGAACTTCCTGGGTCGGCGATGTCGTAAGGAACTTCGCTCACAATGGGCCGCGGCGCGGCTCGAGTTTCTGGCGATCGTCGAATTGTTAAATTTAATTACCGAACTGGGTAAGAGAGAGAGAGAGAGAGGGAGAGAGGAGAGAGAGAGAGAAGCGGCGAAGGTGCTATATACGTCCGCTTAACATTCGCTTCGTCGTCTGCAAGTGCGATCGAACTCGCGGTGCGAATCATTGAATATGTCGGGCGTGACGGCGATTTTAATCACGAGGCAACGGGACGCCGAAACAATAACGAAATAAATTTCTCCGCTCGAGTTTATATGAAAGTACGCGAGAAATTTTCGTTAAGGCTCGACGCAAATGTCGCCAGTGATTCGAAACAGTAAAACACGATGTCTCGGAATGTCTGGCGAGTGGTATTTTGCACTAGCTTAGCGAGAACATTTCTCGCGATCCACAAAATTTCTGTAAACATTCTATACGGAGCAGAAGAGAGCATTCTCAATGGTTAACAATATTCCTGTTTTGAAAGCAATGTGAATGCAAAGTGAGGAAATAACAAAGGTCTGTCCCGACTTGAACTTCATTAAGAAGTAACTCCATGAGTTTGTAGAACGGAATATCATTGTATCGTGATAATTGTTATTTGTAACTTATAAGCACGTAAAAGGAAATGGAATCTCAATCTTAATGGTTTCACGAAATTATCAGCATTACGATTTTCTTTCATATTGATATTCTTTTGACATTTATCTTAGCCTAGAAATTATTTATAATTCACTAATTAATTTTATGTATTATAATAATATCTTCTCTCTCTACAATCTTTAATAAAAATTTCTATTATTTATATTGTAGTAATGATTTTAGTAAACCTATAAGACGTAAATAAAAGATTTAAAATTTTGGTCGTACAGAAAAAAAACACAACGTTACAACGAATACTTTAATATTAACGTCGAATTAAATAAAGGCAAAGACAATCTGATACAATATTACCTTCTTGATAGTCCAAAAGCCATTTTTAGGAAAAAAAAAAACCACGTAAAAGAAACGCTCTCCACATTTTTACTTTCACGTCAACATCTTCCAGTATGAAGACGCCTTCCGCGGGCGCTTTTAATAAACGTAATAGAGTGTAAAGCTCCGAGATAAAGCATACCTCTATCCCTGTGGCGCTTCCTCGACCCGACATCAACCACGCCTCCGTTTCATGCCTTGCCTGTTATCCCCAGAACCTCGAAAACAACATTTCAAGGTAAATCCGCAGGCCACAGTGCCAATGGCTACCCTCAGCGAATCCTCTAGAAACACTGAATTGTTTCCAGAAACAACTACGTATTTCGGGCCTTTACCAAATTGCAGATCTAATTAAATGGATATATATTCGACTGTTTATAATTAGATTTTCAAGACGTACAATAACATATCTGATAAATCAAAACTCCTCTTCGTTTATAAGAAAAATCAAACTTTCCTCTCTTTTTTTAGAATACATCTTAAAATAACTACGATTATTTTTTAAGTGATTTAATTAATTTACTTCTTGTGATTCTTAGTTGTTTCTTATTGTTACTATCATTAGTATCATTGGCATCGTTATCGTTATTATTACCAATATAATATAAAATATCTTTGAATTTTGATAACATTGTGCTGCGCGTGAAGCAGAAATCCTTGACCTAATGTTTTTGAGAACCTTCAATATATCTTTGGATAATAACGATGGAAATATACCCAGTTTATATGAAAAATATATAGAGTATGAAAATTGTAAGATGCTCTTTGACGCTCGCAAGTGCAGCTATAATATTATATTTTATCTTCGAACAAAAAAAAATGCATACACTTATTTCATAAGATTACTTCACGCAAGTATAGTAATAAATTAGATTATATTATTACATCGATTCAATTTTTAAGTATAGCTATAGTCAAAACGGTTGCTCTCAAATAGAATACTCTACACCCTTCACAAAAACCGTTTAATCGCTTTATAATGTTGAGATAAATTTTTCACATAGTCTATAATCTTATGTGTAAATTTAAGTTCTTTTCTTTAGAACTTACTATCGCGATTTACACTATAAATGAGAAGGTGTGCAGGCTAAAATTATTTAATTTAACGTGATGAATTCTTTATGAGAATGAAGAAAAATTTTTTAATCATTTAGCTTGGCCAAAGAGCGCTAAATAGAAAGAAAGGAGGACTTCAATGGCAATTCGTAAGAAGCTAAGAATATTTTAATTGAAATGGTAAGGACCCTAATTAATTGAATTGAAAAAGCCTTTAAGTTTTCCGAGACAGAAATAAGATTTTACACTACAGCAGTGGCATCCCGGCAACGCAAAGAAGCTGCGTTGCCTTGAGACGCTTCCATAAATATTTTTCTTCCTAATATTTAATGAGGAACTAAAGCAAAGAAAGAGTGGAAAAACAGAGAAAATCTTGAAGGTAGACGATTTAATTTATCTCAATTTATTTAGCAATTCCTCATTCTATGATAAGACGATCCAGAGTATTGGATTATTTTTACTTGACGCTTTTGAAGGGAAAATGTAATACCCGATACTCTGATACTTAATATTCTTAAACATTACTTTAAATTATATTTATATAATTATTAATAAATAAAATAGTTAATTCAGTTCTCTCTTACTTATTTATTGAATAAGATCAGATTTTATGCAAGGATATTTATATATATGTATGTATACTTGTATTACATCTGTAATATATACATCATATATAAATATATGCTAATATATGTTAATATAAATTATATAAACTTTGTTTTAATTATTTTATATTTTTATTTATATATTTTTTGGAAGAAGGAAAAGAGAGGAAGATAAAAATAAAATTAATTGAAAAAAGAAATATTTCTTACTATACGTAATACGTAATTAATACGTAATACGTATTTAATTTAAATAACTAATCGGTGAAAGAATCATTGCTTTCATACACAAAACCGACGTTTGCAAAATTTCTTAGATTTTCAAGAAGCGAAGATAAAGCACGTTTACGTGCAAAGAGCGTATTTCTGGCGCCACCGTTGCTCCCAGCCGGTGCCAAGCTATCGTTTCATGATTTCGCGGAAGCGGTCTCATATAACAATGCATTTGCACCTAGGATGAACGGTGGCGCGGACGAAGACCGCCGCTCGCAATCAGGGGTGAATTTACAACGAGGCGCCGGCTCTATTTCACCACCGTGACGGAGCCGGGGACAACGACGACAGGATTAAATGCCAAGCTAGCTCATAACCACGCCCCGGAGCTTAGAGACCCTTAGAACAATGAACGTTGCTTCTCAGTTTGACAAAAGTAATGCGATTCGCGCCACGTTGTTTCATTATTTGAAACGCGGAAAATTGAATCCCGCGTATGTCAGAATTTACACGTACAAATCTCACGGTAATATATGTTAATATAAATTATATAAACTTTGTTTTAATTATTTTATATTTTTATTTATATATTTTTTGGAAGAAGGAAAAGAGAGGAAGATAAAAATAAAATTAATTGAAAAAAGAAATATTTCTTACTATACGTAATACGTAATTAATACGTAATACGTATTTAATTTAAATAACTAATCGGTGAAAGAATCATTGCTTTCATACACAAAACCGACGTTTGCAAAATTTCTTAGATTTTCAAGAAGCGAAGATAAAGCACGTTTACGTGCAAAGAGCGTATTTCTGGCGCCACCGTTGCTCCCAGCCGGTGCCAAGCTATCGTTTCATGATTTCGCGGAAGCGGTCTCATATAACAATGCATTTGCACCTAGGATGAACGGTGGCGCGGACGAAGACCGCCGCTCGCAATCAGGGGTGAATTTACAACGAGGCGCCGGCTCTATTTCACCACCGTGACGGAGCCGGGGACAACGACGACAGGATTAAATGCCAAGCTAGCTCATAACCACGCCCCGGAGCTTAGAGACCCTTAGAACAATGAACGTTGCTTCTCAGTTTGACAAAAGTAATGCGATTCGCGCCACGTTGTTTCATTATTTGAAACGCGGAAAATTGAATCCCGCGTATGTCAGAATTTACACGTACAAATCTCACGGTTTTTTTTTCTTTTTTCTCCGAAACATCGATATATTTATCTTGTACATATATTTTACGTATAATATTTTTATCATCAGTCACACAGAAAAATCAAATTTTAATTATCGCGTAGCAAATAAATTTTTGCATAATTTCATTTATCCTAGAATCGCGATTTATCTGTCGATTTTTTATATTATCATATATAAAGATTATATTATCAATTAAATTCTCATATAAATGTCAAGCACTATTTTTTCGAGAATGGTAGATAATTACACGTAATAAAATGTATTTAATTATCGAACTATATTTTCCTATAAATGACAGATAATGAAAGAGAACAGAACCCATGTCCAGTTATCTGCCAGTTTCAGGAAAATATGATCATGGTAAGCAATGTGTGACATGTGTAGCATACATAATATATAGAATGACGATGCGCAATCGTCTCTAGTCGAGTCTAGCTAATGGATTCACGACCACATTTTACCGTAATTAACTGGCGGCACCAGGTGAAGTATATCGAATACTTGATTTCAGATTACATCGCGCCCTTCCCCCCCAAGATGACTGTGAAATAGCGACGTATCTATGTCGCATTAATAGCAGTAAATTGGATCTGGCGGTGCATTAATATCGCATAGCGTATATAGTACAGCATTAGTTACACATAGTTACATACGATATCTGCTGGCACCGCTTTGATTGCGTAATATAAACGTGGCATTTACCCGTGTACCGCCACATATAATGTAACTGTGTACGGTGTTATTGCCATCCGCGAGATTATTACCCTAATTGCATTTGTTACAACTCCCTGCACGATCATTTCGGTGATGCAGTCTTCAAAACATAACGGCAGAGTATCAGTCGTCCTTGTTTTCTGCAACATAAATAAAATAAACGAAGACTGGATAAATTCGAAAATAGAAATTAAATTGATATGTATGTATTTCTCTGTAGCATAAAAACTAAAAAATTGATACAGATGAAACGTAAGAGCTGCACACAGGATAGCTTCTCTATCGTACAAAGCTTGAAAATATAGCAATATATATACTTTATATAATAAAAATAATTATAAATACTTAATGTGAGAAATATACGGATAATAATAAAATAAATATTGGAGGAGATTTTTTTTTCAAGGATATACATTCGATATATATTCAGTATATAGCAAATAGAGAAAGGTGCTATATTACAAGATCGCGTGCTCTCCTAAATAATACATTTGTCGCAATAAATCGCCCACAGTGAGAATCTTAATTAAACCGGCGTGCTAATCTTTGTACTACCACATTTTCCTCCGTGCGCGATGATTAACGACGCAACAACGGCCTTTTTGACATTTAACTTCGCGCGCACCTGCCTTCTGTAACGTCATAGTAATTTATTAATGCCGTTAAGGCGCCTTAATTATCCCGCGGAAGATAGAACTGCGAATCGTAGATATATCACGGTTCTTCGGTGGACGAAACCAGATCCACTTTTCTCTCGTCGCAATTCAATATGGCGAAAAGTCGCTGAAGAATCATCATGACAGCAAGACGAGAATTCCCGCATAAAGGTCGCTCTTTTCAGAGCTGTCGCACTTTCTTCCTGCGGAAGCGGAATTACGGTCCGACGCTTTTTTGACGATGTAATCTCAAGCGGATTAACATATACCCTGAATCTGTCTGCGCACCTTAGGTTCCGCGCGAAGAAAGAACCCGAGGCGAATGGATTGTAGAGAGCAAGCTCGTGGAATGAATAAAACCAAGACGTCAGAGCAAGAAACGGGTCTTGCGATTGCCGAGGTTTTTCGCTCGGTCGCCGTCGTCGTCCATCGAAAGGGCGATCCGGATTGTATAATGAAACGCAATAGGGTGCTCCCTCAAAAGCGTTTTTTTCAGACGCTCAACAATGGACCTGCCATCAGGTCACGGATATACTTGTGTATATCTCGCATAATAATATCACTTTCCAGACAGCACACGTCCCTAAAAGACATCCAAAAAACGAATTAAATTCGTCTTATCGTTTTTTTATCTCTCAGATGTTTTTTCGCCTTTATGTGCCGTCTAACAATAAGTTCTTTATGCGAGGTGTGTGTATATTTCAAAGAAAATCGGAGAATCAATTTTTCAGAAAACACTTGTAATTGTAAAAAAGTGTGCGACATGTCTCATACATTATATGTCTATAATTAAGGATATAATTAAGAAACATTTTTATATATATATTCGATTCGTATTATTACGTGAATAATAGAGAATCATATCAATTTCTTCATCAGATTTTATTCGTGTGTAATGCGCATCTTTAGTGTTATCCATCATAATTAAAGAACACATTATGTTGCGCTCATTAACGGGAAGCAGAGCTGAATATAAGATTACAAGTGTTACGGTCCTTTATACTAGCGATAGTTTTAATTGATGCGCATGAAGGATAGCATTATCGACGATAGCATCCTTTACATGCGTGACTGCGGCTACGTTTAATTAATAAAATCATCCTAATCGCCGTGGAGCCTTTTTGCCGGCGACCACACGAACATCTCGCTATCCCCTTGCACTCGGATTTTGCCCCTTAATCACTTTATAATCAGCGCGTTGAGAAGGCTAAGGCGAGCAGAGCGAAAGCGGTTTTCAGCAAACCGCTATTATGTTTCCAAAGGCGTCGTTAATGAGGATAAAATGTTCCGTGGGACTTTATGCCACTCCTGTCCCTGAAAAACATCCCTCTGCATTTAATGCTTCGATCGGGATACCTTTATTTGTGTAAATCGCGAATAAATGTACATTGTGAAATCTCGAAAGATCGTAATGCTCGAGATTCTCCCGAGAGAAAAATACGGGATAACGTTAAAAAACATCATTTTTCGGAAATATTGAATGGTACGCGAAATCGCGAGAACTCACAATATCGAAATGAAGGACGATGAAATATCCCGAAAACATATAAATGAATATGAGAGAATATCTGTACGAAATAAAATGAAAAAACAGGAAAAATGAAAATTCAGAATTACACATTTTTGAAGGCTAGCAGATATTCGCGATTCATTCGATTTCAATATTGCAAAACTTCGCGCGCCCTCGAATAATTGCGAACAGAAACGATATTTCGGAACGATGAAGTTTCGCGACAACGTATTCATCGGCGCGTTGTATGCGTACCGCTTTTTTCCATTTCTCGTTTCCCCTCGGATTTTGCGTGTCCGTTTTGAATCGTCGCGGGCATCGATGACCTCAAAAGTTATTTAACAATTGTAACACGGGACGCACGAGATAAAAGTGAGGAGGACTGATTTCGTAAACGAGAGTATTTGCGCGGCTGCAAAATCTGGTTTGCATAATGTAAACTCCCTCCGTTTATCCGGTGTTCGCGCCGGATGTGATACGAAAGTGCCGGCGCGAGTTTCGCGAGGAAGGGGATCGACGCGGATGCGCGAGTCCGGGAAATTTTTAATTTACTCCAACGGATTTGTGCCAGAGCCCACGTTATCTCAGGACATTTTGTAACGAGCTTTGCCAGAACATGGCACACGCACACACATGCACACACAATGGTTCCGCTGTGGATAAAAAAAGCCTATTCGCTTCTTCTTTTCTGCTCCACGACAGCTAGGGGCGACACGAGCCTCGTGCGAAATGAGGCTGGAGGAATCCGATTTTCTAGTGTTCGAACCGCTCGGGCGGAAAATGACGTACAGAACTATTTCCGCGGCAACGATCCGTTCCCGACAGCCCCCTTTCCTTCTTCCCTTCCCTTTCCTTCTCTCTTAATGGAAATAATTACGGCCTGTTCATTGTTCGCGCCATTCAAGGGGTGAGATCTAATTTATCGAAAGCGATGAGCTCGTGTGAGAAAGCGTTAAAAAAAAAGAAAAAAACGAGAAAAATGAAAAAATTTCCAGTTTTAATACCGCCGCGGGAAACAGCATATGTATTATAGAATAAAATACAGTAGAAAAAAGATATGAAATACTCAATCAATTGAAAATATATATATATTTGATGAAATAAGTCTGAAAAAATTTGAAAAAAAATCTGCTAAAATGATTATATATGCATCGAGATTATTTATACATGATGTAAGGATCATTAGATCGAAACTGAAATGCTAATTGAATACAACGTGTAACATATGGTAATTAACTCATCACAATCCATGTTGCTCGTTAATGCGCATTTGGGTAGGTTAACATAATCTGAAATAATGAGAGACGAAATAGCAATATTTGAAAGGTATGGAATTTCATTTTAACTACAAAATTTTAACTGGCAAAATCGAATCATGAGTAACAAAGTTTTCCCATTAATTTCTTCATGCTCGTACTTCAAGGTGATTAATTAGAATTATGAGAAAAGTTCGTAAAGCACCTGTTACGTATTTAGAGCAGTTTCTTCAGAATCTTGGCGAATACTATTCTAATATTTCAACATTGACATGCTCGCAGCACTCACTTGATTGTAATAATACCGCTGATGGACCAGAAGATATATTTTGATTAATTCCGCACAAAATTTCATACATCTACACATTTTACGTTTCGATTTTACATTTGTAGATTCAAATAATACAGTTTAGAAAATTTTAAAGATTTATCTTTTTTTATCTAATATTATATATTCTTCCGAAAAATATTAATGATGTAGATTAAGAATGACCGTATGATCAGAATGACAGTAGAATTAGAAAGAAGAAAATAAATTACCATTTTTAATTTTTAATTTATGTAACATAAATATTACATGCGATGCAAAAATCGATTAATGTTTATTGAATAATAATATATATATATATATAACGATCTAACACAAAGTATTAAAAGCAACAAAGAGCAATCATCTTTATTTTACAACTAGTCAATACAACACGACATAATATTATCGCGGCGATAATTACGAGGGGAGAGACTACTTTTAATCACCTCTCGTCTATGCGGTAATCCGAAGGTGCGGCTAATCTCCTCCAGGAAAGCCACGATGACCCCTAATTGGCCACATTATTAAAATCGCATTTTCGTGATCCCAGCTGCGAGGGATCGTCCCTGCCGAGGATCGTACAGGCGCGATGAAGTTTCCTCATAAAATAAATCACGCCATCCCATCGCGGTAATTCGGCGCAGCCGCTCTTCGCCTTACCGGTAATATTGGATATTTTCTTAATGGCAAAACTTCCACGGCCTCCCCTCGAATCCAGTTCATCCTCGTGAATTCCCTGATAAATCGGTACATGATTCTCAACCGTTTCGATAGTCTCTCCTTCTCCCACGTCCTCTCCTGTTTTATTTTCCACCTCTCGTTTATATTGGCATTTATCCCGGCGCGTGAAGATGAAGAAAGTATCGAAGCTCTTGAACCGCCCCAAATATATAATCATATTATAGAGATACTTCTATTCTCGTTTCAGTCACTGTACCAGCGATTATATCGCTGTTTATTCGGGCCCAACCACGTCGAGCCCGTTGCTGAAGATGCTCTGTGGCAAGGACAAGATAGCATTGATATATGACGGTCAAGAACTTCTCGTCGAGTTCAGGTAAAAGATCTATTTTTTTTTTATCAGGACATGAAACAATTAATTTATCACAAATTTTTAGTTAATTTATATAGCTTTCCTGTTTTTATGCATCTTTAAAGAAATTTATTTTGTTTTACAGAACTGGTCCCGAGGTATCACCTTTCGATTACAACGGTTTCGTCGCGACACTGAATTTTATAGAAATGACGACGGAAGCTCCAACGACAATTGCTGTCGACAGTATAAATAAAAGTCGTAAGTAATAATAGATAATAAAGATTTACATTTCTAAAATATAACTTCTAAGCTAATTAGAAAGAATAATGTACGTATCATCTCTCTAACGTAAGAAGAACGTCAATAGGATTAAAAATTCTTACTTGTATAATTCTCAATAATATTTATCTTGTCGCGAATTCTTATTTTTATTTTTATTCTTTTGCGAAATGATTAAAAATTAAAAATAAATTCTTGCATTATTTAAAATTTTAAGGACCGACTTTTTAAATTTTTCTTTCTATTTTAATTTTATATTATATGAAAACAACAAATTATTGTCAAAGTTCACTTGATTCTCTTCCAATCTTCCAGTTGAGATAATGAAGCCCGGTAGCTACAACAACCGTGACCTACACGATCTCCGTAAGAACCAAGGTGCCGTGATCAGCAGTTGCGATCTCGAAGTGAGTGGCGAGAAGGTACGGGCAGGTCACCACGATACCAGGGGCAAGCCAAAGTCCACGACATGCAGACTCGTGTTGCGTGGCCGCGCTTACGACACCGGACACGTCTCCTTAGCCAGTTACAACCTCAGGTAACCCCGTTTTCGCCCGCTATTACGAATCTCCAAGAAGCCGTACATCGAGACGCACGTGCGATCGCGGTCAGACGAGGGCGAGAAACTCTGTGTCTTCTATATCGACGTGTTTCTCTATCAATCGCGTCGGTTTAAAGACCAGAAAAAACTACAGTCATATAATGGCGAGCACAGTGCGGTGTACGGAATTACATTTTGTGTTTGTTTATTGTTTTCGATCGCGTTTGCCAATCTCTACAAATTTGCGAGGATATAACATTAGAATAGTGATATATATAGTCGAAAAATGGTTGATACGGTTTGCACTATTGATTAATGCATTAAGCGGAGACCGTGAGCTCTGTTGTTGACATCGATTGCAAACGCGTTTTCATTTATTCGAGAAATACTTAATATAAAGTTACACCTGGCCAGCTGCTCCCCATAGCAAAATAAACAAAATGAATATCGTAGAATAAAGCTATTTAAAAGCTTTCCGAACGGCAAATTAAAAATTTTGAGTTCGTATAAAAAACTCAGAAAGATGAAGAGAAATATTAATTTTTGGTAGGAAAGAATAAGTGGACTTTTGTTCTGAATAATTCTGAATAGCTTAAAATGTTTAATTTGCGATGTTTGAAATCTCTTAAATAGTTTTTAATTCTACGATATTAATTTCTTTATTTTTGCCTTGGTAAAGAGACCAGCTGAATAGCGGTTATTATATAAAATTATAAATCATAACACGTCGATGCTTTAATTAATAGAAATTTAAATGTTGCATCAGGATATTTTAAGAAAATATCCAAGAATATCGTTCAACATCTGTTATATATATGAGAAACTAGCTATTTCTCGATCGCACGTTACGTCTGCGCGACGGGATCTTTATTTCACAGTTAGCGGCTGCTTGCGTAACTTATCGAAACGCGGAAGCAGGGAGAAGCCGTCCCAAGGCTCATCGCGGAAAGTAGCGTTAAATCACGTGGGGTGGCAAGGGGGCGAAAAGACACATCGCATTTCACGTCCGTATCCCGGGGATTTTCAATTATTATGCGAGACGCATGCGGCGACATGCGGAACGCGTATCCGCATCTTACGGAGATTGTGTTCCGTGCACGCCAGGAGATGGAACGCACTGTGGGAGAAGGATGAGAACACCACCCTCGGAACCGATAACGATGACGATCTCGTCGGCGATTCGTATCTCTGACAACCCTCACGGGATTGCCACTGTCAGTGTCTCCGAAACCGCAAATATATATATATAAACTGAATGTATATGCCGCGTATGAGACGCAAAACGGCGGGCTTTATTGAAGGTAGCATGAATTTTGAACGGAATATTGTAAATCGGAGTGGCAGGTGAACCGAGAAAATATCTCCGAGCATGGGGAGAATATCGCTTCGTCCACCGATCAACCACGTGAATATTTCTCTTCCTCTTTTACTCATTTTTATGTTGGTTGCGCGAGTAAGAGCGCGTAATAGCGGCATCGATGTCGGATTTTTGCAGCTTTCCAGCTTTCTTGCTACGTCTCTGAGGCGATTAGAGGGAACAGAAACATGACATTCGAATATTTCGGTTCTAAATGATACATTTGCGGATTATTTCGGGATATGCGAACGCGACACGTTCACTTTTTTCAAGATTAAAAAAGAAATAAATAAGTGCAAATATGAATTAATATATTTAATTCACTTTTTTAGCAACTTGATAAAATTCCAAAAAAATGCCGAAAATAAAATTATATTTATCTTTGAAAAAATTCTCTACGCAAGGGATTGAGACATCGATGTTGAGTTTTCTTACTGACGCTTTAAAGATGACGAATTTCTGTAGCACGCGATCAATCATAAAATCCATTGATAAATACATATGTTCCCCGTTCGATTTTACAGTGCGCAGTCTTGCCAATCGGCAATCGAGATATTCGACGGTTCGCCGGAGAGCGGGATGCTGGATACCGCCAACTCTTTGGAGAGGATCTGTAGTCCTGCGCAGTGGCTCCCGCGGGAACTCGCGGGCCAGGATAAGTAAGTAGATTCCCCCCATAGTTATTAGAGCGGTCATTAGAGAGATACTATCGTGTACGGTTTATCGGTGATGCATTGTAATAGTGAGTTGGTAAATTTGGGGATTTCTCTCGGCAGCTCGCAATATGGCTTAAACCGGTAGAAACTGGTTAAGTCTCCTTAGGCAATCCCCGGCATCAAAATGGAGATTAGTTCCTAACCGCTACCGAAATGCGAGCATAGTACAAATCAGCTAATGATGCAACAATCCTACCAGTACGCTAATCCATGTACGAGTCTCGTTGCAAAATTTCTTTCGCTCCGATGTTCTTACGCCAACGTAAGACCGGCGCGGTCTTTTTTCCGCAGTGTGCATATATGTATATACTTTGAGATTTATTCATTATATACCTCGGACACGTAGATCGCGAGACAAGAACTGAATTGACGCGCGAAATAGGAACCGGCGCCCGTCGTAACACCGAAGAGAAGCAGCGAGAGATCGTCGGCGCGTAATCATAAAACAGCCCTGGCAGATCCATCATCCGTCTCCATCCGAGAGCTAGACTAGCCGCGACATGCAAAGTGATACCTCATACTCATCTCACCGGAAGTCAAAGTATGAAAGATGACTATGCGCCAGACCCTCGCACGCTGCGCATTCCATGGTTACGAGGCCATTTATAGCGAGTACATATTCGAATGAAAAGATGTCACAGAATGCGCAGAATGGTAGTTATCTGGAATCGTTCAGTCGTTGCCGCAGCATTACGGAAGCCCGGATGCAGTTATTCATGCGGTATCACGGAAGTGGCGCGCCTCTCGATTTTCTTCGATAAATTTTTTAACAAGAATCTTGGAACTATCAATTTTACTTTGATCTTATTAACTTTTTAATCTTGCACATTAAACATAAAAGAAGTTTTTTAATTTTATTAAAAAGCTTTTATATATTCTTTACTTTTTTGAATAATTACGAAAGTTCTATCAATTATCAATATTATATTTTCCTGCTCTGTAACCGATATATTTTTTAATTCGATTTCATTTTAGATTCTGTCGCAACTTTGTTTTACAAACATGGTATTGTCGCGAGTCAATAACAGTACGTCTAAAGTTGTAACTATTCCATTTTTCCTCATCTGTTTCCAGTTATATTTAATTCCACAATATTGTCACAAGACGCATATAAAAGGACGTAACAAAAATTTATAGCATAAACTCTGGAACAGCTGGTCGGGCGTATGTACTTTTGCTCGTAACGTTCCTGGTGATAGCGTGACTTTTATGATAGAAGAATCTTTCAATTACATAGTAAACTTTTTCATTTGATTAAATAACTTTAAAAAAATGCGTAAAAAACATATATACCGATATTACGCAACATTAATATTTTGCAAAAACAACTTTTTTAATTTTTATAACGTTTATTCAATTTCCGTTCATGCTGCGTTAGTTTGTATCTCCGTTTGATTTTTCTATAAAAGTGCGCGATGTCGTTCGCTAAAAATATAGTATATATACCATATGTGATAATTGTTATCAAAAAATACATTTAGATGTAATATATATTTAACAATGTTATATCATGCTTCGTACAGTTGTTTTACGAACCATTCTTTCGATGACATCTTAAAAATTTGATTCTATGTCAAATTGCATATTATATGATAAAAAGCACGTAAACCGCATGATTTTATGCTGTTCAATGATGCGTTACTTTCATTCAAAGGAAAATGGACTCTTTGTCGTTCGCGTGCTGTTTATGTGATACAAATCCCTATACACGACAGGACCAGTTTCCACCTTGAAATGCGCGTTTTATAGACGTGGTTCTTTCGACGTCGTAAACATTTAATGCCGATCGATTTACTGGCGCGAATAATAATAAATGCGAGCACGAGCTGGGCGTTGATAGAATACCGGCTAATCCGTTTAATACCCCTCCTCCCCTCTCCCTCTACTGCTGTAGAATTTATGGCTTGCAGCGTTTGATAACAACACGCCCAACGAATTAGACGCCCATAAAACAAAAAGATTTTTAAAATTGAAACTCAAATAAACAACTAAATATTTATTTTGTAAAAACGAATAATACATAAATAGAAATTTTAATAAAACTAAGTAGATTATACTATTAACAGAAGTGAATATTGCTGAAGTAAAATAATTAAAATAATATATAAACCTGTGAAATATAATATTGAAAATATTGAGAATATTCGAATATTCTATAAAACGTTGAAATTTTCAAATTTTTATATTCTTTCCTATCTATATTGTCCATCATGGTAAATTACATGGTAAATTACTACAGCAGATATTTTTATTCGTCATACGTGCTTTTTTCAGTAAAGTCGAGATATCGATGTAAGAATGAGATGCTTGATAAAAATTCAAGAGAGGTAGAATAGAGGTCATATCAAATGAAAAACGTGACGAGAAAGATATTTGAAGGAAGATTTTTAGAGAGAGAGAGAGAATCATACATATTGAGTAACGATAGCACGTGAACAGAACGAATTGCATTTCGGAATTTTTAAATCTCTCTTTAAATCCTCCGACAATTATTCGATCAGATGTCATAACATGTTTTTCTTCCATTTACCGCACTCATAAAATTATGAATGCCAAATAACTTAAAATCTCAGAATGTGCTCATGTAAATCGCAACGAAAGACGACAAAACTACTCGTTTGTATAAAAACGAAGAAATAAAGCATATTATTGAATGTCTGAGAGAAAAATAATTAAAGCGTATTTGAGTACGCGATTTGTATCCGTCTATGCAGGACAAGTTTGTCGGCAGGAACTTCGACGCCGAAGCCTCCAGAGACGAGATTGACCAATCGGCCGTGGAAACAGACCGAGATAGTCCAGCGACGACAAACAAAGGTATCGCGTGATTCCTCTCGAGGCTGGAAGTCGGCGGTGACCCACGAACCAGGATTCCGACCGACTGACCGAACTCGGAGAAAGAAAGAGAAAGAGGGAGATGAGTGCAAAGGGAACTCTCAAACGAGCGAGCGAGACGACCTAGTCGTCCTGCAACAGCCAACGGCCGCATGCATTATGCAAGTCGTGGGAAATGGACGGATGCGAAATGTCTGTCGCGCGGACGCTACATCGGGGGTGAACTTGATGTGACCGGCGCAAAAAGAACGAGAACCGACCAACGAATGGCCAAACGAGCGATGCACGAGTGGGCTAAGAGATTTCCCAGAAGAGATTTCGAAGCGCCGTCGTCCCGGTCGAGCACCGATATGGACCACCGATCGATTCGCTCTGGGCTTATTCGCCCGGTCTCGCTTTCTTCGATCCGAAACGAGTAAAAAGTCTGAAATATTGTGATAACACCACTCGTACATATGTCTTGTAGTTTGGGAAATCTCTAAATGGATTTGAAGAATCTATTAGATACGAAAAAGTGCTATTCTGATTTTGATTTCGAAATTGACTTTTCTAGATAAATGCAAGAATTTCATATTTGAAAAATTAGCAAAACTCTTACAAATATTAAATATTATAAAAAGTATGTCTCTGTGGATAGAAAAATATAAAAGCCATCCGATTACGATCCATTCTCATGATAAGAAAAATTTACAAAATACTCTAAGAAATATCGACGATTACATAAGATTAACATAATTACATAAGACTAACATTCGCGACTAAAAGTCACACACGCCACATTGTCGACCCTCCGTTCGATTCCTTCGATCCCTTCGAGAACCAAGGGAGGATTGTTTCTACTTTTCGGCAAGAAGAGTGATATTCATCGTGCGCGCATTTTGCTCTGCAGCACCTTGCTGACGCCATTCTGGCAGTTTTTAATCTATTTTAATTTCTAACGTTTGCCGCGCGCATCCCAGCCGGTCCCGAGACGATTTATGCTTGGCAGCAACAGCAGGCTCGACCGGATGCAGTGTACGTACGTACGTGCCTATGGGACCGTCGTGTGTTTTATGTCGACTAATCTCGTAAAAATTCATGCGAAATAACGCCCGTGCTTCATCCGCATCGCACGTTCTCCACTCTCGTCGCCGCCTGCAGTCGGGCACGTATTCCGCCGAATTTCCGGTTTCCGCCTTCCGTCTTTCGCGATACTCCCGGGGCTTATTCGCCCGGTCTCGCTTTCTTCGATCCGAAACGAGTAAAAAGTCTGAAATATTGTGATAACACCACTCGTACATATGTCTTGTAGTTTGGGAAATCTCTAAATGGATTTGAAGAATCTATTAGATACGAAAAAGTGCTATTCTGATTTTGATTTCGAAATTGACTTTTCTAGATAAATGCAAGAATTTCATATTTGAAAAATTAGCAAAACTCTTACAAATATTAAATATTATAAAAAGTATGTCTCTGTGGATAGAAAAATATAAAAGCCATCCGATTACGATCCATTCTCATGATAAGAAAAATTTACAAAATACTCTAAGAAATATCGACGATTACATAAGATTAACATAATTACATAAGACTAACATTCGCGACTAAAAGTCACACACGCCACATTGTCGACCCTCCGTTCGATTCCTTCGATCCCTTCGAGAACCAAGGGAGGATTGTTTCTACTTTTCGGCAAGAAGAGTGATATTCATCGTGCGCGCATTTTGCTCTGCAGCACCTTGCTGACGCCATTCTGGCAGTTTTTAATCTATTTTAATTTCTAACGTTTGCCGCGCGCATCCCAGCCGGTCCCGAGACGATTTATGCTTGGCAGCAACAGCAGGCTCGACCGGATGCAGTGTACGTACGTACGTGCCTATGGGACCGTCGTGTGTTTTATGTCGACTAATCTCGTAAAAATTCATGCGAAATAACGCCCGTGCTTCATCCGCATCGCACGTTCTCTACTCTCGTCGCCGCCTGCAGTCGGGCACGTATTCCGCCGAATTTCCGGTTTCCGCCTTCCGTCTTTCGCGATACTCCCGAAACGGCATTAAGGCGATACGAAATAAAACAAAACTTACAAAAAAATCTAGTATAATATCTAGAAAATTCAAGAATAAAAATATCGAGATTTGTATTCTTGACTTAACATTTGAAAATAACGTAAAATCAAGATCCAAAAATGATTGCGTGCCAACGATCGTACTATCACGTTTTGTAAACGACACTTAGTGGAAACAACGGGTTGAAAGGGTCTAATTGGCATTGCAATTATTCAAGTGAATTGCCTGGAGCGCGCTCTATTTAATCTCTATCCATGCATGGATACTGGATACATTGAGGATCAATTCGGAATAGCCATCAAGTAATTTAATCTTCATGCACGCCATACCCAACTAAAAGCCACCCTCTGTCGGGAGCAGCCAATGAACCGATACAGATCAACCGTATCGAGCCGTCACTTTATCTCACGCTCTGATAAAATAAACTATTATTTAG